CTGCGTTTCGGAAGAGGACCCTGATAGCAGCATGAGACACGGAGAGGGGTGGGGCATTGCATGGGAGGCGGCAGGAAACACCTAGGCGTTGAACCGGAGCATTAAGAGTAGCAGAGCTAAAGAGAAGGGTTGGATTCAAAGAATGGGTGAAGTATCTGTTGCTGATACAAGTGAACAGTCATGGATTCCACTCAATCCATGGAAATATCTTCTAAGAAAATAATCTCATTGATCCACTTCTGAACCTCTGTTGAGTGAACTGCACTTGTCAATTTGCTGGCTTGCACAGGTCAGGAGCTTGTACTGACTATGTAACAGTCTCTACTGAACCCACTGATGTAAAGAGCTGCTGATCTCTCAGTGCAAGACGAAGTGGAGTTGGTACGTTAGTTATGGAGGTGCTCAGACCTGCAGTGGTTCTGGGATCTACAGCGTCCTCTCTCCCAACTGCATGATGCCGACCAGATCTATTAGAATTTCCCTCAGAGCATTGGCTCTGGAACAGAGTAACTAGTTCAACTCCTGACTTCACAATTTACCAGCTGTGTGACCAAACTTCCCAAGTCAGGTTCTTTATCTGTAAAAAGGGGATAACAATACTTATATCCTCCCTCTGCTCAAGAGAAAGACAAAAACAGACATAGAGAGACCGAGACAGAGAGGAAAGAGATCACACCCATTATGTAATGAACACTGTTATCACTATAATCAGCAAGTGATGAATGGCCATGAAAACAAAGAGAAGGATTTTTAAAATCTGAATGATGCAAGTAAGTCAACTATTTGTTCCGTCACCTTCATTTTAGTGAAGATGACAATATTTATTTTGATCTCTTGCGGGGAAAGAACCCTCCTGATACATTTAAGTGTTGCTTTGCCCATTTCTCTGCCTTTCATGGATGGGCCACATGGCTAGGAGCAACCTTTGAATTAATTCTGTCTTTGAAATAAGAACCAATGAAAAAAGTCATACTATTTGTGCAGAGAAATACTGAAAAGCCCTGGTAACTCTAAGAATGTGGCTAAAATTGCCTATCTTAAGATCCAATCATGATTTGTTTTTTGTGTTTTTTGTTTTTTTTTTCAGCGTGGTTTGGATGAGCAGACAGAAGCTGAGATTTCTCAGCCTCTGAATTCCACAGCACATTTCTTAGGTATGGCATGGTTTCCGAAGGTGAAGGGGACCAGCACCTGAGGGAGCATGTGAGATAATACTGGAGGATGAAAAAATGAATTGAAACTTTTATTATAATTATTTTTATATTTTTAGTATAGAGTTTTAGGTATGTTTCATAATGCATATAATATTACACCAATTTTTTGTAATTTATAAATATATATACATACATATATGTATGTATATTGCTCAAACATGTTTACTGAGGGGACCATGATCAAACAATTTTGAGACCCAGTGTTGTAGGAGGGATTTGAAGTTCAATCTGAGTTTAAATTTTTCTGTCTCCTTAGTGATCTGTGTCTCCAAACGACTTACCCGATTTTTAGCTATTTTAGGGGAATGAAGAGGAAGCAGTGGACTCAGGCCTGACATTGCCACTGACTCACTGCTGACTCGCTGTGTGGCCTTGGAGATGTCACTGAGCCTTCCTGGGCGGCATGTATTTCCTTTCTCTTTCAGGCGGTGGCTATAATAATACTGTCTTTACAAAGGTTTTATGAAAATCAACAGAATAATGGTTCTTCTGATGTGGGGTATCAAAGCGATGTTCACGGCATGCGTTCAAGCTTGCCCTCGTTGTCCTGCCTCACTCCCTCGCCTGATCTTCTTTGTGTCCTGTATTTCTCAGTGGCGTTTGTGATGATCCTGGGACAGGAAGAGTGCGCTCTCGTCCTAATACTACTATTCTCTTACTGCTGAGTCAGTATTCAGCTAGTATTGACCAAGCACCTTGCTGTGTGTCGGACACATGCTTAATGTTATCTACTCTCCAAAGAGTCCTGAAAGGATTTGCTTTGTTTTTCAGATGAAGAAGTTCAGCAGTAGTGTCCCAGGGAACTTCTGCAATATGAAAACATGCTATATGTGGGCTGTTCAGTGGGTAGGCACTAGCCAAGTGTGGGCGCTAAGCACTTGGAATATGACTACTGTGACTGAGGAACTAAATTTTTAATTTTATTTAATTTTAAATAATTTCAGTGGAAATAGCTACATGTGACTACTCCTGGCTGCTGGATTGGATGGAACAACTCTAGGGACGGTCAAACTAACATTCAAGTAAAAGGCAACATTAAGACTATTATGGGCTGAATTGTGTCTCCCCCAAATTTGTATGTTGAAATCTTAATCCCTACTCCCTTCGAATGTGACTGAATTCGAAGATAGTTCCTTTAAAAGTAAAGTGAGGTGACATAAGTGGGCGGCAATCCAACATGACTGGTGTCCACACAAGGAGAGGTGATTAAGACAGACACGCATGGGGGAGACCCTCATGAAAAGGTGGAGAATCTGGCCATCTGCAAGCCAGGGAGACAGACCTCAGAAGAAACCAACCCTGCTGACACGTTGATCTTGGACTTCTAGCCCCCACGATTGTGAGAAAATACATTTTTGTTGTTTAAGTCACTTAGTCTAGGGTGTTTGTTTCAGCAGTTCTCACAAACTAATAAAAAGACCTTTTCAATAATGTGAGAATTTAGTTCATTTACAGCAGACTCTTTCAATGAATCCATCAAGAATGTATACCAATGTCGCCCAGTAAATTTAATAAAATAAAAAAAGAATGCATTCTCTCTTTGTATATATTTAAAATGTAAGCTACAAAAAAAATATATACAAGGAACAGTAGTTTAATGAAGAAAGCAGCACAATTTACAATTAACCACTGATGCATAATGAACAAAACAAATTACAAACTGGAACTAAAATCCCAGGTGATCTACACATGGGAGGTGGGCAGGTGTGTATTCCAAGGTCAAGGTGAAGGAAGAGGGCAACGTAGTGATGGTGAAAGTGTTCTGAGGTTCTTATAAGTTTCTCATCTTATGGAAGAAACAGAATATAGCTACCAATTATTCTAGGTGTCAATAAAAATATATATCTGTTGTAGCAATTGTTTTTAATTTAGAGAAAGAAAATAATTTCTAATTCCTAAGAGAAAAACATGGCAAGACAACTATTATTAAAAGAGCAGAAAAGAAAAAAGAAACATTTAAAAAATAGAACAAAATAAGATGAAAGGAATAATTCCATATGTATCCAAAATCACAATAAATGTGAATGAGCTAAAATTCCCTTTTAAAAGATAAGTCAAGTTAGTCAAATCCAAAATATTATCAGGTATTAGCTCTGGAAAGGATAGGAGGATTATGGGTGGAAACTTTTACATTTTACTCTAAATACATCCTTATCGTTTAGTCTTTCACAACAAAAATGCATTACTGTGTTGAATAATCTAAAAACTTTTTTAAAAAAAGAGTCAGAAACATTACAGTCAAAACCAGATATTCTGGCTGCAGGAATAATTCTACTATATACATCGCCTCTCCCCTTAAGCAAGTCAAATCCCTTCTTTGGACCTTAATATATGTATCTATAAAATGAAAGTGGTAGGACACACTTATGACTTTTAAATTTTGTCCCAAAGAAGTATTTTATAAGCCATTTGGGGGAGTTCAGGAAAAGGCTATGAAGTGGGACTATTAGACCATCTACTTATTTTAAGCAGGAAAGTTCTTCTTTTATCTGCTTTATATATTGATGTTCCATTTAATATTATCTATGGAAAAAGTATTATCATTGTTAAGAAACCCACAAAATGTGAAAGCTGCTCTTCTAGGAGACTTCTAAAGTCCCTCATAACTTTAACATTCTAGAGTACTCACCATTTCTCCATGTCTATGACGAACAGACTTGCATGGAAACATAGACCAAGGATATTTCATAGGTTATGCTGTGTTCAAATTTGTGAAATGAACATAACCTTTTTACAGTGAAGTATTCTATCACTCAACCCATTTGTGTGTGTGTGTGTGTGTGTGTGTGTGTGTGTGTGTGTGTGTGTGTGACTAAAGGGCTACTATGGCTGATCTGAAAGGCTGGATTTTACACACCCCTCAGTTGGGTACTACCTACATCTAACCTCGACGTCCAAGTCAACACTAGTGGAAAGTGTCTTCACCTCAGAGACAAATGACCCAAATTTCCATCTAGAACCTACTGATGGCTCATTGTCTGGCCTTGGGCAAGTTCAGTCCCTCAGTTCCCTGTCACAATATGAAGAATTAGTCTATTAAATCCCCAACCTCTTGTCAACTATCAGTTTTTGCAAATTCATGTGAGTCCTTGGTGCCTGATCAAAGCCAAAACATGTGCACACCAGGCAAAAAGAAATTAGGCCTCCAAAGAAAATGTGGGCTTACAGGGACTTAGGGACACCGGTCATAAATATGATGCTCTGTCACGTTAAATTCTAAAATAGAAAAAGATGATGAGCAAAGTGACCCACAAGAGAAAACTTGTTTTCGTAGAATGGTGGGCCATGGAGCCATGGAGCTCTGATAATTTCTGAGCCTTCTTCCCCAGGCTTCTTTGAAGAGCTTGTCTAAATAACGTTTCAGACACCCATCGCTCTTATTTTTAGCTCTGAGTTCTCTTCACGAGGGTACTGACCTGTGCTGTGGCATTCAAGAGGGCTCCCAGATATGGCTCATGATTCATTTGCAGGTACCTTGCATTGATTTCCAGAAAGGTCAGAGGAGCAGGAGCCTGGAAAAATGATTTTAGACATAAAATCCTTCCTTGCTCTTGTTCCTATTCCAACTACCCAATCAGGAAATGCACAGTCCACACATGGATCTCTTGGTGCCATAGGCAATTGGCCATGAAAACAGAACCCAAGCTATATGGTTCTCCAAGGGCCCCACAGCTGGTGTGGGGGGAACAAAACTCAGGGCTTTGGTCACAGGCTATTTTCAGCCTCTGATAGCAGTTGTGTTACTCATGCCTCCCCTCAGCCTCCCTCCCGCCGCCCTCCCCTCTGCAGGCCAAGGCTGGTGACTGGCCTCCAGATATTTAAAAAGGACGATAGCCCCTCCTTAGTCAGTTGAGCTGACAGAGACCCAGCAGGCAGGTAAGTGGAGCAAAGCAAGTGTTTGGGCTGGGGGTGGGCTGCTGGCTCGGCGCTGGTTGGGACTCTGAAATGTCCTACAGAGTAAGGATGTGTTTCACATCCCAAATACTAGCAACCACTCTGGGTCTGTGCGAGACTTGAGTTATGCTCGACACCTGTGTAGACCTAACAGTTGCTGAGAAAATTCCTAGAAAGGACAATGAACACTGAGGGGCATAAGGCAAACTAGCAGACAGAAAAATGATTGAGGTATTATTTTTGGTCTAAACTATTTTCATGATGGAATAATGTTTCCTATTGTCTTAGTCAAAAGACCTGAATTCTAGTCCTAGAACCACATAATGTTTGGATATGTGACTTTGAGAAGTTCCTGCCCTCAGGGTCTTGGTCTCCCTGCAAGGATCAATACGGATGTGGTGACGTTTTTGTAGACTGTAAAGTACTGCACAGTTATACAGTGGTGTGATAGATACAGCACAGTAGAAGCCAGCTTTCCAATGCGCCAAATACAAGGAATTCCATTTAGGTGAATGAGATTTTTATCCTTCACCACACCCTGTCTTGCATATGGGAAATACTCCGTGATGTTCGTTGGTTTGAAATAGATTTTATATCTCAAGGATGTTTAGCAACAGCCTTGCTTTTAATCATTTGTAAATTAACCAAAACGGTATAGGAAAGAGACATTGCTATGTTGAAAATCCATTAAGAGCTCTATTTAGTAGGAGGATAATTCCTAGTCAGGGATGAGGGGCAAGTCCCAGTGTTGCCTTTAGGCTTCAGTCAAGAAGTTTTGTTTTCTTCCTTTCTTTCTTTTTTCTTTTACATGTCAGTGAATGACAGGCATGCCTGTGACTGAGAATGTGAAGTGGTTTTAAGTGATGGTCTGAGGGGAGATACTACCCAAAGAACAAAGCCACCACCTCTAATTTCTGTTCCCATCCCTGAGCTGGGGTGGTGACTCCCCCAAGGAGAAGTTGATGAACCAGTTAGGAGAAACCTTGTTTCTCTGCAGTACAGTTCAATGCAATTTAATGAGTTTGCATTGACCACATTCCCTGTTGGGGCTGGGGAGGTAGCACCAATGCAGGGCAGGGCGGGCCAGAACAGGAAGGGCGGGGAAGTAGGGAGAGCCTGTGTCCTCAGTTTACTTTAGGGGCTGAATTTCAGTGTTGGGTACATCACAATGTATATAAAATTGTTTATGACCCAGAAATGTAAAGGATTCTTCTGGTTTGGCTTTGGTTCCATTCTGATCAACTCAGTCATTAAAATGAGCCCTGACTGTTGGCAGGGAAGACAGCTGACCCCTAGGGCTTGGTGTCTCTCCAGCCCAGGTAGACAGGTGCTCAGCAGTCACACGCACAAGCCATTCGCTAGAGAAAGGGGAGGCAGGCTCCCCTTTCTCTGAGTTTCCATGTTCTGAGCAGGAAAATTAAGGTAAGGCCACCAATCCCAAAGGGATTTGTTAGAATCAAACGAGATAAAGTATAGGAAAGTACTTTGCAGAGTTTAATAAAGCTGTACAAATATGCAAGGCCTCTGAGAAAGGACACAAGGCCACAGTCGGCGGGCTGCAGGAGGACTTCCTGCTAAGTACACGTGTGATGAGGAGCGCCCAGAGGTCAGCGTGGATGACCAGCTGACTGGGAGTCAGAAGATAATCAATTTGTTTTACAGGAGGAAGGGCCCAGACTAGGAACATAATACACAGGAAATACAGCTCCTAAGCAGGCGGACTTCCAGTTACAAGCGTATTGCTCGGATATCTGGGAATACTGTACCAGGGCGGGGCTGCACGGCCAGAGAAATGCGATGCCTTCAAACGTGAAAAACTACGGTACTGAGCTCAGTGAGAAAAGCAGTAAGGGCCACGGAGGATGAAGACTTTTCTGGGCCTTGACAAGGTCCTCATCACGGGAGAGGGTTGGCCATGATTTACTGTTTGCTGACCGCCCTGTCTACTGCAATATTAGCTTACTTAGTGTCACAAAGAGTCCTGTAAGAAGTCATTCCGCAGAGGAAGAAACAACAGTTTAAGGAAGCGACCCAAATCACTCAGGGTCACACGGCTAGAGAGGGGCAGAGACAGTGCAACGTGGTCTTTAAAAACAAATGACAAAGGTCAAAAAAAACAAACAAACACAACAAAGTGAGTTTCTGAGAGTGAAGGTTGGCCTGACTTCAGAGATCATTTCAGAAAAGATGTAACGTGACTCACATGTTCTAGTCTCTGTAACGGGCAGGCGTGTCGACCGTGTCTGACTTCTAAAGGGATGACAGCCAACACTTGGGTTTATTTCTGTGCTGGGAAAAAGTGACCTGTGCTTCCCAGGCTTCGTCAAAGGGCCTTTTCACAGGGTGCGTCATGTATCTGTTCAGAAGCTTAGGAGGAAGCTATTGACCTTGAGTGTCCTACATGCAGAAGCTGAAGGGCACTGTCCCCCTGAGCCATGGGGAGGGACAGTTGGGTTCCCTGCTTCCCTTCAAAGCACAGGTCACCAAAGAGATCAGCTGGTGTTAGGCACCAGAACTGCCAAAGCAAAGAAGTGGCTGTCTCGGGACACGGGCGTAGGAGCTTACCTGCCATGCCACCCTGGCACCAGGCACCCTGACCCCCCCAAGGGGGCTGACTCTCTGGCCTGGCTGCGTCTGTTCCTGGGTGCAGCACACTCTGAAGGCTGAGAAACAGAACTGTCTCCCAGTCCAAACCAGGAGGGCCACAGAGTAGAAGCAAGGAGAAATTTGCTTGTTTTAAGAAAATGGATTTAGGGCCCGGCCAGGTAGCTCAGTTGGTTAGAGCGTCGTCCCGATACACCAAGGTTGCAGGTTGATGCCCAGTCAGGACACATACAAGACACAACCAATGAATGCAAAATAAGTGGAACAACAAATCAATGTTTCTCTCTCTCTCTTTTCCCTCCCCTCTCAAATCAATAAATAAATATTTAAAAAATAAAATAGATTTAAAATAATAATAATAATAATAATAAAAGCAGCACAAATTATTAAATACCTATTATACATTAAGGATTTATATATATATAGTATCTTGGCTATTATTATTATTTTATTCAACCTAAAAACAACCTTCTAAGACAAGCCTTCTCATTCTATCTTTACATTCACGAGGATCCTGGGCTCAGAGAGTTTGAGGAATTTGCCCAACGCAAACAGATAGTGGGGTTTTTTTTTGCATTTATCTTCAGATAGAGTGGGAGGGAGAGAAAGAGGAAGCCGGGGAAAACTGGAACCGAGGTTCGTGCCCTTAGCAGGAACCGAACCCAGGACTCTCTGGTCCACAGGCCAACGCTCTAACTGCTGAGCCAAACTGGCCAGAGCAAACAGATAGTGTTTTTTAAACTAGCCTGATTCTTCTCAAAGCCCGTGCTTTTCCACTATGCTACCTCATCTCCCTTACCTGGATGAAGAGAATGGAAAAGAGGCAGTGTTGGAGAGGGGATGCAATTCAGTATTTCTGTAAGGTGAGGCTTCATTTGCTGTTCACCTCCCTAAATCTGTCTCAGGGCTTGAAGGATCCTTCAAGGGGCTTCACAACACTGCAGCACTTGAACATCCATCCCTAGTTGAAGTAAAATCAATAGTGAGAGAACTCTTCAGCCCCAAAGGAGCCCTTTCCGTGTTTATCTAGCACTGACTCTTAGAAAGTCCTTTATTTTACTGAATCAAATTCAGTCTCCCTGTTACTGCCACCCATGAGTAGTGCTCTGTCCCATGGAGAGACAATGGGTTCATCAGATCCCAATTCTCATCATCTGGGATGTTTAGTTAGTGGAGAAGCTGAACTGTCCCTTCTCCTGGGTGTTGTGAGCAGGGACATGGGATACAGAACCAGCGTGACTGGGGTTTGGACGGCAGCTCTGTCACTTACTGGCCGTGTGACCGCAGACAAGTCACTTAAGCTCTGAGTCCCAGTTTTACTTATCTGCAAAATGGGGATAACAAAATTAGCTCTGCAGAGCTGTTGTACTAAAGATAGTTTAAATAAAGCAATGGGTGCATGGTTAACAATAAGTGGTAGTTAATGTTAATGTAAGAACACAGCTTTGTGGTTGTTGTTCAAAGTATTCCAGATGTTCCCCCTCCTTTTCCCCCCATTGAACCCCCTCCTCCCAGCTCCCACTCTCCTCCTGCTTTCCCCTACTTAATGTCCGTGTCCATTGGTTGTGCATATATGCATATAAGTTCTTCGGTTTATCTCTTCCCTCCTCACTCCCACCGCCCTTCCTTCTGAGGTCTGTGCCATGTGACCTTGGGCAATGTAATTTCCCTCAGACTCTACTTCCCCAACTCTCAAGTACTTTTGTAACATTACCTACCCTTGAAGGGTTGCAGTGAAGATTAAGTGAAATATGACAAAGTGTCTGGCCCAAGGGCTTGTCTCCAGGTACACATTAGCTTCAATAATAACATTAGTATATTAGCAAAAATTGTGATTATCACTTAGATTTCAGATAAAAGTTTCTATGATCCAAAATCTTTGTCTCAGCCAGTGTAGACAATTTAAGTCACTCTTGGATGATCAGGCATCTGATAGGATGACTAAATGAACCAATACTGAGCTAAAAATGGCTTTTTCAATGGAGGTCTCTGCTTGGTCAGGGCTTTTATCCTTAATGGACAAAGAAGAAACAGAATCACTCAGTGCCCATCCACCTTTGCCCTAAGGTATCACCTTTCAGCTCCCTAGTTGGTAGTTTAAAAACAAAAGAAACAAAGTGTTGGATTAAGAAGAATGTGCCTAAAATACACAGTTGGTTTTTCGTTTATAATTTTGGTTTTTTTAATCCTTACCCGAGGACATATTTGTGTTCATCTTCAGATAGAGCAGGAGTGAAAGAGGGAGGAAGAGAGAGAGAAATATCGATGTGAGAGAGATACATCGACTAGTTGCCACCCACACAACCCCATCTGGGGCCGGGGACAAACTGCAACCGAGGTACGTGCCCTTAGCAGGAACCAAACCTGGGACTCTCCCATCCGCAGGTGGACGCTCTAACCACTGAGCAAAACTGGCCAGGGCCATTTGGTTTTTGTTTTCAAAGTTCACACTGATGCATGATCACTTAGGGTTATTGCAAGACGAATGAGCTCTTACATTGTATAATACTCTACAGCTTGCAAAGTGATTTGACGTACTTGAACTGCTACTAGCCTACCAGCAATAGTGAAACAGACAGGACTATTACGCCTGTTTTAGGAAGAATGTTGAAGTTCAGAGAGTTTGAAGGGTTTTCCCAGATCACATGGCTTTGAAGAGGCAAGACTAGGACTCTGGTCTCCTGCATTTCATCAAGTGCTTCCCTAGCCCCTACTAGAGCACATTCCCAGAATACTCTCTTCCACAGTTTTATTCGTTAAGAAGTCTATAAAGTCGCCCCTCACTGGGACCTGGATATCCAAAAGCCTGGAGTCACCCTCTCCCTAACTGACATAGCAGTGTCCTGCATTCTGACTCTCCTTGTAAATCTCAGACGGTCCTCCATTTCAATTCCGAGCAGCTTGGTCTGAGACCATGCAGGCATCTCCTGGACTGACCCAGGAGATGTGATGGAGATTGTGACCCAGGGGACAAATGGGGCTAAGTGACAGGCAAACCTATATTTGGTGTCCCACCTTCAATGACCCTTGCCTGTGCCAGGCAACACTGATAAACAAATGGCCCATCCCTTGGTATCTTGCCAGCGTAAACTCACACTGTGGGCCTGGCTAAGGGAGTGTTGAGACACAGGAATTCCAAAGCAATGCAGGAGGCTAAAAGGTTACGTGTGTAAGCCAGGACCTCACTGCTTCCAAATCATAGTGACTTACTGAGCAGACTGGCGCTATCTGAATACCGACACAAAGGGTAGAACAATGCCTTGCCTTTGAATTGCTTCTCGATAAAGTCCCCCTTACCATGGTTCTGTTTGCCAGCAATCAACCTTGGTCCAAAACTATTAAATGGAAAATTCCACAAGTAAACAGTTCATACGTTTTAAATTGTGCGCTGCTCTGAGTAGTGTGTTGGAAATCTCTTGACGTGTCACCCAGGACGTGAATCTTGGATTCACGCTGTATCCACTTCCCGCCCGCCCCCGCCAGTCACTTAGTAACCATGTTGGTTTTCAGATCAACTGTTGACCTATCCCAGTACTGTGTTCAAGTCACCCTTGCTTCACTTAATAACGACCCCAAAGTGCAACAGTAGCAATGCTGGCAATTCAGATATGCCACAGAGAAGCTGTGAAGTGTTTCCTGTAAGTGAAACTGTATTTATAGGGTCACTACCATGCCTGCTTTCAAGTATCCCCTGGGGGAGGGGTCTTAGAACATATCCCCAGCAGATAAGTGGGGGGAAGGGCTACTGTACTGCTTTAAATCCAATCGTATTTCCATGACCTTCACAGTGGTCCTGTGAGGAAAGTGCAGGAGAGAGCATTATTGCCATTTTCACCCAAGTTCAAGGTCACAAGGTCAAGATCAGAACCCGTGTCTTCCAATGCAGGATGCTTTACAACACCCTCTGCCTTTTGGCCTTTAAGCACTGGAAGAAAAAAATCAGAGCTGTCTTCGGTGTTTGGCCTCCATAGCTACAATTCCATGTTTAGAAATGGAACTGAGCACCTGTTTAGTAGAATGCTTATGGATTTCTATTTTGGGTTTCAAGTCCTGACATACGTATGTCAGATATTTATGATCACTTTTTAAAAAGCTGTGCTAGGATACATTACTTTGTGAAGAGGTTATTATCTATAATCCTGTCCTCACTTTGAAAAATAATGTAGGCAATTGCTGAATACACACACACACACACACACACACACACACATCCGAGAGGCATATTTCTCTCCCATTAACTTGCAGGACATGCCAATAAAATCTCCACTGGAGATCTGAAATGAGAAATCTGACCTAGGGTTGTTTTCATTGAAAATTTCCACATCATTAATTTCACAAGTGTCACTGTCACAATCCTGGATATTACATTTTTCTTCTATTTTATATTACACCGAAACTCTGGATCAAAATGAACATGAGCAAAAGTATGTGATTCTGTTCTTTTCCAGAGAATATATCATCTCTATGAAAGATGGCTCTTAGAAAAGAGAGTTAGCTAATAAAATATTCCCAAATTTCTTACCTTGTTTGTAAATAAAGGGGTTGGTCAATCTTAAAAATCTCTCTTCCAATCCTATAAATCCTAAAAATTTTAGTGGAGTAAAAAAAATAAATAATTTGGGTTCTTTTAGGGGATATTCAGACCTCTATGCCTTTCTGTGTGATCTTTTCTCTGCCTGAAGTGTTCTTCCCCTTTTCTCTATCTGATGAACTCTTAGTCACCCTTCTAAACCCCATTCAGATGTGCCACCTGCTGTGATCCTCCAGCAACTCATTGCTTTCATCTCCAATCTGAACACGGGTAGCCACTTTCTCCTTTGAGTTTGCCTGCACTTCTCTCAAGACTCTTCTCTGATGCAGAGTATTCTGTTCCTGCCTATCTCCCTCAGTAGAATGTAGGCTTCTCAATTCTGGAGAACACAAATCACTCATTTTTATGGTTTCTTTCCCACGATCCCTTACCAGTACCCGGTGCAGTGCTTGACACATGATAGGTAGTAAATGCGTGATGAATGAATGAATACAGGCTTGATCACAAGCCTTTCGACTCAAGCACCATTGCTCTTTCCATTATACCCAACAACTTGAACTATAGAAATAGGAGCATTAAATGTTTCCTTTTGAGAAATGTTATTTTCTAAAATCGTACTGAATTAAAATAGCCTGCTTCTCTGAGAGGAAGGGTAGGGTGTTCCTGGTCAACCTCATACTGTTTTCGTACACGGGAAAAGCTCTTTGCAGGGACATTTAGGCGGGGATGTTCCCTTTGGTCGGAGGATCGGGTTCAGTGGTCTGTTTGCTATTTACCTTCTGCTTCTTAGTACAATCTGTCTTTGTTATGAGGCAGGGAGACACATTCCTGACCAGTGACCAGGAGAGCTTAGTGGCAATCACCAACTATTATGAGACGGTGAACAGCTTCCCAGAAGAAAAAGAGAAGGTCAGAAGCAGCCACTTGGAATGACTGGACAGTGTTTGGTGTCAATGACAAGATGACACACCAGGTCTTAGAAACCAAAGAATCCCATCGAAAATTTAGCCCCCGTGAGGCTGGCAGGACTTCAGAAATTTCACTGAGTATTGTTGACTTATTTTTGTTTTACTCTGGGGAAACTGAAAAGTGGATTCACACTTACACACAGAAACAGAAAGAAAAACATTTTTTTAATGCTCCTCCTGGCCTCGTATCTCTTAAACTTAACTCTCTGGTGAGGAGACAATGATAGCCCGTGGCTGCGGGCCGCTTGCGGCAGAGTGCGCTCGAAGGGTGTGAGAGACACCCAGCAGCATCACCTGGCTCCTGCGCCCACACCTGGCACTGTGAGTCTGGGAAGTACCTCCTGCACATCACGTCATTTGGTCCTCTAAACAACACTGTGAAGCAGCAAGGAAAAGAATGACTCTCTGTACAGTATAGCCAGGAAGACAGATGTAGAGAAGCTATGCCGTTCCTCTTGATGCACACAGCGAGTTGTGGGTAGCCCCGAAAGCAGAAGGAAGGTTTCCAGACCACTGATCTAGCATAGTGTCAATATAGCTTATTGCCTGGGCAGTGATATTTCTTTAAAAAGGAGTTAATGAATAGGAGGAAAAAATCTGAACAGGGTATTTTATATATTATATACTTTTATCAGCAAGATTGGCTAAGGCTTTGTAATTCATGGGGTTGTCCACCACCAGCAGCATCAGCACCGCCTGGAGTCTGTTAGAAAGGCAGAATTTTCTGCCTCTTCCCAGATCTACCAAACCAGAACCTGCATGTTATTAGCAACATCCGAGGTGAATTGAGAAGCACTGAACTAGATAAGGAGATGATACCATTTTAATAGGCTATTGCCACTTCTGGTGGAATAATTTTTAAAACTCTGGATGGAAAAATAATAATACTTAATATTTGTATATAATTGTATGTGTGCAAAATTAGCTCATCCATGCCTTCCAAAGACACTGTGAGGTCCACAGAGGCAGGTGCTTTTGAAATTTAACAGAAGAGGAAACTCAGTCTCAAAGTAGTAAAGTGACTTGCTCAGAGCCTTATTCAATGACTTGTACATAGTAACTATTTGCTGAATGAATAAATGCATAAATGAAGGAATGAAGGAATGAACGAACGAATGAATGAACAAATGAATGAATGAACAAACAACCGACCCACCAAACAAACTGGGAGAGAATCACGATATTTGGGCCACTGCACTACCAATGACTGGTTTATTCCAGAGGCCATCTAAATTTGGAGTATTTGCTTTATATCCTGTTAGACTTGACCTTGGTCAGAAAGTCTTCAAGATGCCCAACTGGGGTGGAGGAGCGAAGTGCGGAGCCTGCGAAAAGACAGTCTACCACGCGGAAGAAATCCAGTGCAATGGAAGGAGTTTCCACAAGACCTGTTTCCTCTGCAGTGAGTTGGGTGAACACCACAAGGGCGCCCCAGCATCCAAGGGGCATTTCAAAGTTCACATTTAGCCACAGATACTTATATATCAGTGGTTCTCAGAGTATGGTCCCAGGACCAGCTGCATCAGCATCCCCTGGGAACTTGTGGGTCCTGCCTTAGAAAGGGATGGTGCTCTCCAGCCACTGGCCTGGCTCAGAAGCCGTTTCCCTGCAGCTCAAAGTCAGAACAAGCTGGCCTGCCGTCGCTCTCAGTGGTGAAACTTGAACCCGGTGGCGACATTTACAAAGTGTGACTTGGCAGAGGTGGCTTTGCTCTAGGTGTCCTCCCCACTGGTCAGCTGTCATTGAAGTCAGCTGCAACTGGCTTTTCCCAAGAAGGACCTGTGTCAGACAAGCAAACACGTGCGTTCTGTTTGAGAGTCAGACAGGAAGGGGTCAGGGCCTGGGCACCAGTCACTTGACGAAGGGAAGCTTCAGCGTCACCTGCCACACACAAAGGTTCAAGCTGGGGCAATTTTAAGACTCTGTGGCTCACCTGGTGGTCTGGCTTTGTCCAACTCATGGGACTTTAGACAAGTCATTTCTCACCTTTGGGCCTGGGTCGCAAGCATCCACCAGAGAGCCAGGAGTAGAACCTGCATCTTCAGACTCCCTCTGGTCTCTTTGACACACGTGCATTGTGGAATTTCCTAGTAGCCAGCCCTGCTTGGGGAAAACAGTCTGTTTTGGCCATTTACCTTCTTTGCTTCCCTCCAGTAGATCTGGCTTAAGGGGCAGCTTTACTGGACATTTGGCAGATCCCCTCCACCACAGGCCCCACCCCACCTCCCTGCATCAGCCCAGTGACCACGAGGCATCACACTGTTTCAAACAAAACTTCAAGGGTTGGGCTCCATCTGTTAGGGCAGGAGACACTCCATCCCTAAGCTGCCAGAAGCAGGAGCGTTTCATCGGCTGCAGGCGTTTCCATCATCCCTCACCTCCCACAGCAAACATGAATATCATCCAAGAACAGGGGAAGATGCTGTTCTGAGTGACTGGGTTAGCAGACTTACAAATGCTTTGGGTTTTAATAATGGGCAATTATTTTTAAGTCACTGGATACATCCATCAGATTCATTATTATCATTACAGTTATCCAGAAGTCATTGCTCAAGACAGTTTATCCCATAACCCTTGGGCTTTTGTCCCAAAACAGCTCTTGTTCTTTCTAAAGAGTGGGAGTGAAGAATCTTGGAGAGAACACTGGGATTGGAATAAAACATGACAGGGTTTGAGTCTGGGTTCTGCCATATGTCGTGAGACCCTGGGTAAGTCATTTCTCCATCGATCCTCAATTTCCCCATCTATAAAATGGAGATGGTTATACTACCATACAGGTGGTTACAGAAAGAAAACTGAAGTTCTTGATATGGAAATCCGATCTTCTCTGCCTTTATTCTCCGTTGATCAACTTGGACACCCGAGTAGGAACAGAATGGCAGTGGAGTTCTTCATGGAAAGGGCTCTTCTCCCCCAGGCAGCAGGAGGGTGCTGTTCCGTGGGGCCATGGTAGAAGGGATGTGAGCAGGTAGTGGTATATTCCTCTTCACCCTTTGATGTTTTCCTTAGGACTCGTAGGTGGGATGGGGATCTGAGTCGTATAAGTTTCTAAATGGTAGACAGAAAGATCTGAGAGAGAAGCACACTTTTTAATATTATCACCGCAAGACTTGCCTGTCCACAGGCAACCCTATAATTGCCAGAAATGGGGCACAGTCTACCTCAGCTCATACCCATCAGTGTTGCCTGACTTCTAGACATATCCTAACCCAGCCTTACCAGCACTGTCCAAAAGAAATATAATGTGAGCCACATAAGCAAATTTAAATTTTCCTTTTTTGTTAATCCTCACCCAAGGATATTGTTCCATTGATTTCTAGATAGAGTGGAGGGGAGAGAATGGGAGAAAGAGAGAGAGAGAGAGAGAGAGAGAGAGAGAGAGAGAGAGAGAGAGAGAGAAACTTCAATGTGAGAGTGAGGGAAACACATTGATTGGTTGCCAGGATCAGAGATCAAACCTGCATCCCAGGTACGTACCCTTGACCAGGAATCAAAACTGAGACCCTTTGGTCCACAGGCCGATGCTCTAACCATGAAGCTAAACCAGCCAGGGTGCAAATTTAAATTTTCTAATAATCATATTTTTAAAAAGTACAAAGAAACAGGTGAAATTAATTTTAAAACATATGCATTTACCCACTTATTCATTCTTCCCTCCATCCATCCATCCATCCATCTATCCATCCACTCGTTCACAATTACTTAACCTAACATATTAATAATGATCATTTCAATGTGTAATCTATACACAAACTATTCACAAAATGTTTTTATATTCTTGTTTTGTTTGAAATCCGGTGCACATTTTGCATTCAGAGCTCTTCATGTGGCAGGCCAGTGTCTGCGGTATTGAGCAGTGAGCTCCACCGTGCCTGTGTATGAGAGCTGGTCAGAAGCCCGGGAGTGGCTATCGAGGTGGCCAGGGCACGGCAGGGCACAGCAGGGCACAGCAGTCCTGGCGTGATGGGAATGAGCACTGGAGGAGTCAATGGCTCTGAGGCCAGCCATGGCTCTGCCACTTACTGTTGTGTAATCATGGACAATTGTGATTTTCACCCATACATGCTGTATGCATTCACCCACTTATTCATTTATCCATCCATCCATCCATCCATCCATCCATCCATCCATCCATCCACTCGTTCACAAAGGACTAATTCTGGGCCAGACTCCATTCTATGTTCTGGGGGTATTAAGATAAAAGTCTTGCCCTTAAGGAACTCAGAATCAAGAACATCAATACACATTTGAGAAATTGTTCTGAAGATGGGTAACTGAGAGCAACAAGGAGGGCAGAGATAGGTGAATACCTTATGTGCCCAAATATAAAGCGTTTTCCCCCCAAATTACTCATAAAAAGAGGTTCCCTTGTTTTCAAAGCCTTATGAAGTCCCCCATGCTATAAGACAGTCTCTCAATGACTTTACATGAACTTCCATACGCCTGTTTCCCCAGACACACAGCCACCAGCCTCTGGCCAGTCCTGCCTCATCTACATCCTTATCTTCTACTCACACTCTTGTATTTAATTATTTTTTTCAATAAAATACCATTTGAGGAAGGCGTATGAGCCCGAAGCCACCTCATTCAATGCTGAATTGCTTATAGAGGTCACTAATAGAACTGGTTTTAAAAAAAAATAAAAAAGGAGGCAAATAAATTGAAAGCACATGTATTCTTATTCCTGGGGCTACGACCTCACTGGAATAAGCACCACACATCACTGTGAACAACCCTGCAGGATCACTGTTACAAAGCAAGTCGGCAAGTTATTAAGTTGCGGAAATCCTACGTATTTTTAAAAAGCCGCCCTAATGTTATGTTAATAGGAGCTTCTGGTTGAGGTACATTTCCAAGTGACAGCCTCCCATCAGGTGCCAACAGGGCTGCAGAGAGGGAGGGAGACAGCTGCCCGAGCGCTGGGCCCACTGTCTCAACCCCCCACCCCCACCCCCACCCCCACCCCCGCAGACCCGGAGGGCACAGGGAAAGAATGCAGACACAATTGCTTCCTGAATTTGTGTGAGATTAGAAAAAAATAACATCTCCAAATCAATGTGGGATGGATTTATAGTAGTTAATTAAATACTGTAAGTAGGGATTGGACACTTTCATTTACATCCTTAAAATTTGTTCTTTCAAACTGGCAGAAGAAATCTTTCTATACATTTTCTCTTTGGTAAAACGGGGTCTTGTCTCACACACTTTACATTATGGGGGACACTTTATATTAGGAAACATACGGCGATCAGGGGGTTGAGCCAATATGAGCCCAAGGGCCTCTGAGGCAGGTCACCCACTCATCACCTCCCAGCTTCCAGAACTGGATCAAAAGCAGCCTGGGTGGTAACCATCTCCTTGAATATCACAGCCCTTCAAAGGCCATGATAAGTAGAGAAATTGTTCAGTCCTGATTCTGATATGATTAAAAAAATAAGTTCTCCCGTCTCAGCCCCTTCCCCTCATTCATACACACACACACACACACACACACACACACACACACTTCCCTGATGTCATTTAGGGAGTCACTCTGGAACTCAGGTGCTTCCAATTCAGGGACAATATTCTTTGCCGGTCCAAGACCACACACCTGGTTCCAATTCCACGTCTTTCCAGGTAGGTACCACTGAGCACATCATTTCCCTGTCTGTGCCCCAATTTCCTCAAAAGTCTACAGCTTAGGACAGATGCCCTGGTCAGGAATCAAAGCTGTGTTCTTGGCCAGGGGCCCCTCTGCTTAGTGTCTTGGCCCCGAGCAGAGGTGCAAGGAAGTGGGGAGAAATCTAACCCCAACCCTGACCTTCCTTTCTTGAGCAGTGGCCTGCAGGAAGGCTCTGGACAGCACCACGGTCGCAGCGCACGAGTCGGAGATCTACTGTAAGGTCTGCTATGGGCGCAAGTACGGCCCGAAAGGGATCGGGTACGGACAAGGTGCCGGCTGCCTCAGCACAGACACGGGCGAGCACCTGGGCCTCCAGTTGCAACAGTGAGTTACTGCCCCGCTTCTCCCAGGTCCGTACAGCCCCAGTTATCAGGACAGTTCATTCTGTTCCCATAGCAACGCTTTCTGGACATGAGAGAATGAACTCTATTGTCGACTTGCCAACAATAGGAATCCTCAGTCTGACCAAGTTTTAACAATGTGCCATCTTTCCGAAGACTCTCTTTAAATGATCTGCCTTTTTAAAGGGCAATTACTTTTACACCATGGCCCTTGGTTTGCATGTCAAGGGAAACCCCAGAAAGTACAGATGTTCCATTGTTTGACTTTTGCAAAACTGCATGGAGTCTCCTTTCTTCCCTTTGAGCTTTTCTGTGTAAATCACATAAATATGGCAGGGAGGCAATGGCTGTTTGCTGTGTTTGTCACTAAAAGATTAATTCCCTTGGGTTGTAAGATGACTAATGTCACAGGGGGAGTGGTTCCGTGGGGTTGGGCCGTGTGCCTCAGGAGTAAACAATCAATTATAACTGTCTGTGGGTCTCCCCGGCTGCCTGTTGCCAACACAGTGCTGAGGTTTCTCCCAATGTTATCCTAGGGGAGCTGGGACATCATACTACGCCTCCTCCATCTGCCAGTCTGTTCTACCAGTCTTGATGATCAGGCCAGTCTCCAGCCCAGAACTGAGCATAGACTGACAGCCACGCACCTGCAGCTGCTGCCGGCCAGCTGGGGGCTGGGCTCAGCTCTGTGGTGGGCCCGGGCAGAAAGGCCCAGCCCAACTGAGGCAGTGTCTCAGGGAGCAGGGCCTGCCCCACAGAGCAGTGAGAGTCACCTGGTCCCTTCCAAAGAGAAGAGCCCACAGGAGAGCCTGGAAAAGTGCAAGGATGAGTGATTAGTCGCTTAAATGTTTTCCAGTAACCAATACCAATCCCAACTGGATGCTCTGTTTAAAGAAGATGATACCCACTGCATTCTCTGCCATGCATTACCCGAGGCTCAGTCTTCTGTGTTAGGGCTTTCTCATGATGCTGTCAGAGGGACAAGGGTCTGGAGACCCCGGTTTCCTCCCAGCTCCACTGCTTATGAGCTGCTTGACCTCAGGCAGTTGCCCCTCCAACCCTCACTTTCCTCCAAGTAGACCTGCCTACTTTGGAGGTTATGGTGAGACTCAAGCAATAAATGGACAAGAAAACACCAAAAGATATGGAAGCAGAGGGGTTGTTATATGCCTCTATCTTGGGCAAGGACTACATCAGCTCATTGGACTATAGTTTGTTTAGCATCAACTGCCAAGATCCCATCTTGCCCTAGAACATTTTCACAACTTGTTTTGGAAGGCAGACCACTGGGCCTCAAGACGGTACAGAAAAACCCAAACACTCACAGCAGTAATAACAACACAGTAACGACAATAATAGCAGACACGCTAACATGCACGGAACACGTCCCGAGTGCTTTGCCGTGGAAAGGAAAGGTTTAAGCCAACCATAGCTGACATGTGTTAGCTCCTACTATGCACCAGGCAGGCACTGTTCTAAATGCTTTTCTCATGTCACCTCCTTTAACCTCCTCAACAACTCTGTGAGGAAGGCACCATGAGTATCCCCATTTCCCAGACGAGGCATCTAAGGCACAGAGAAGTTAAGTAACTTGCTCAAGGTCACACAGCACATACTGTCTGCCAAGGGAGGTCAATAGGTTTTGTTCATTTGTCTGTGTCCTTCAGGTCCCCAAAGCCAGCACGTCCAGCGACCACCAGCAACCCTTCCAAGTTCACTGCGAAGTTCGGAGAGTCAGAGAAGTGCCCTCGATGTGGAAAGTCCGTCTATGCTGCTGAGAAGGTGATGGCAGGTGGCAAGGTGAGGACTTCTATGGAAGTCAGATGGGAGTTGTTCTCTGCACTGGGTCAGCTGGGAGGGATGAGAGAAGAAACTAGGAACCGTGAGTGGGAACCAGACCCTTCATTCTCGTTAGCTCCGAGGGACCACTATAGGAGCCAGCCATCCTACCCACTGTCCCGGCTCTGACGGTCGCCTGCAGTGCCCTTGGGAGCTGGGACTGGTGAATTAAATGCAACAAGCATCAGCCCACTCGCTGTAAGGCACCCAGGGAAAGCTCTGAAGATAAAGATGCATAAGCCTCCCTGCCCTTCGGTGTCTGCAGTCCTTCCAGAAAGGTGTCAGCACGACGTAACTCCGTCTGCTGCTGGCTTCACCGCTGATGCATACAGCAAACTCCGCATCAGATGTCTGACACAGTAACGCACACTCGTGCTACACTCCCTCATTTTGGGCCTGAAGCCAGGCTGTTCACCAAAAGATTTGGGCCTGATGGGAGAAAAAAATCCTGCTTACACTAAACGAGGGGTGGAAGGGCCATGGAGAGTGGTGATTGACCTCAAATACCAGGGCAGTGTCCACCCCAAGGCTGGCCATTTGAAGACACCTGAGAACCCCTGGCTGGGCCAGGTGGACGTGTAGACGTGCAGAGGGCAGGAGGTCTTCTGGATGACCCCAGCCATGCACGCTTTCTCCCAGAAACACAGAGTTAAAGACGGCCGAGCTACCTGGACAACTGCCTTACTCTCTTGTCTTCTCCTTTAACTTTATATTCCACGTACATGTTACCTACTGTCCCAAGTCCAGTTTCCGTCTTCAGTTTAATCATGGGTCTTCTAGTCTGTTCTGAAGGAATACATATGGAAATCACATTGCTGTGTTGATTTTTAAGGGTTCTGAGAATTGCTGGCCAAGTCCATAGCATCTCATTTTCTTCGAACCCCTGGAAAATGATTCTGGGGGCCGACTGGGTGCAGGGATGGCTAGGGCAGTGGCAGTCCTCTGTGTGCGGCTGCCGGGGGGGAGAACATGGCAGCAGAATATGACACCCACCACAGTAAATATGTAACCTTCCTGTGCCCCTCAGCCCTGGCACAAGACCTGTTTTCGCTGCGCCATCTGTGGGAAGAGTCTAGAGTCCACGAATGTCACTGACAAAGACGGGGAACTTTATTGCAAAGGTAAGTGGTTCCAGAGACTCTCTTGAGATGTTTTCCTGAGGAGGGTCCTTAGAAGTTGTATCCACACCTAGAGGCTTGCGTCTGCTGGGAGGCACGGCGCTTAGCCTGAGCAGGGTCTGCCAGGACGGGAAGCAAAACCAGCGAAGGGAAAGCAGTCTCCTGCCTGAGCCAGCTCTGGTCCTCTTCACCAGAGCCCGTGGGGGGTGATGCTTGCAAACGCTCAGTGTTCAGGGAAGCTGGGTGCCTGAGGAGGAAGCAGCGTCCTGCTTCTGCTTCTGCAAGAGACCACAGGCCTGGACAAACAGCATCACATTCTCTTCTGAAAACCCTAAAGCCCTCCGAGCACCTGAGGGGTGACTGGGGAGGATGAACTCAGTTTAGATTCTCTTCAGTTCATTAAGAAATACATATATCTCCTCCCTCCCTCCCTCCCTCCCTCCCTCCCTCCTGGCATACTGTTGCACATCACTTTACTAACAGATAGAACCGACCAGCGGGTTTTCCTTCTGGTCCTTGAGGCTTGCCCTAGCAGCCCCCCTGATGCCCCAGTCTCTTGCAGAGGTAGTGCGGCTGAGCTCTTTGCTGATGCTACGAAAGGGAAGGGATGCATTAGGGCCAAGGCACTACATCCTCAACCTCAGGGCCTCTCCTAGGCCTGCTCCTTCTCAGTGGGGTCCTCCTGCTCTTTCACTTAGTGATGGTGTCCTAAGGTCTCTAGGCGTGTGTATTGGAGTTGGGCGAGGGGAACCCTGAGAGGGGGGCCAGAGGGAGGACATTACTGCTCAGCGCTGTGTGTTGCCAAAGCTTTTTCCATGATGAGACACAATGGTTGCCTGCTGGCAGCAGAGGACACAAAAGTGTCCTCAGCATTCGAAAGCCATAGAACCCTAAAATGTTGCTGTGAGCAGCAGGGAGGTCAACATGTAGACACATAACTGCATTTGCAAGGGGAGAGAGTTCTAGGAGCAGACAGTACACTATGCAGCCACATAGGAAGAGGCAAGAGATCAGCCTGGGGTGTAGGGAAGGCTTCTCAGAGCTCAAGCTTCCTCTGGGTCTTGAAGGGTGGATGTGGGTTCGGCAAGGGGTGTCCAGGAACAGGGAGCCGAGAGTGTGAGGCCCCCAAGACAGGGCGTCTTTCTATCGCCTGGAGAGGCAAGAGGCAGCGGGGACAGGGCTGGGCAGGCAGGCAGGAGCCAGACTGTCAACTCAAATGAGAAAATTCTCTGAACACAGTGAAGTGCAAGGAACAATGTTTATCAGAAGACCTAAAGTAAAGTGTTCGATTTACTTACAAATTATCTTATAAATATGTTTGTCAAAAGGATGCTTCTCACAGGTGCAAGGGCTGTATCCAAACAGAAGGAACTGAAATAACAGCGCTAACCAACCCGTTCTCTCTCCCCGTCCTGTTTGCCTCCACAGTTTGCTATGCCAAAAATTTTGGCCCTACAGGTATTGGGTTTGGAGGCCTCACACAGCAAGTGGAAAAGAAAGAGTGAAAAGTGTCCCCATTCTCAGATCTTCCGGCAGCCTGAAACATTTCCCAAGTGATCCTGTCCAGGACACCCTTCCCCAAACACCCTCTCGTCGGTCGTCGGACAGTGCTTCTCTTCAGGAGTGACCAGTCTTTACCCAGAGTTAGGAGAGACCTTTGGAAGAAAATTATTAAGAGTTCAATCTGTCACAAGTGTTCTATCATTTACGGTACCTGGGATGGGAGAGGTAATGTAATAAATGCTTTATCGGCACCTTGTACGTCTTGGATCTTTTCTTTTAAATGTAGGGACATTTTTAAAAACAGAGAGGTAGTTCAAAACATTAGGATATAGCCCTGGCCAGTTTGGCTCAGCGGTTAGAGTGTTGGCCCTCGGACCAAAGGGTCTAGGGTTCGATTCCCATCAAGGGCATGTACCTGGGTTGCAGGTTTGATCCCCATCCCTGGTCAGGGTCATACAGGAGACAACCAGTTGGTGTGTGTCTCTCACATCAATGATTCTCTCTCTCCCTCCCTTCCTCCCTTTCACTCTCTCTAAAAGTCAATGGAAAACTATCCTCCGGTGAGGACTGGAAAACAAACAAACAAAACTAGGTTATAACAAATTTTGGTGTCAGCCCTGGCCGGTTTTGCTCAGTGGTTAGAGCGTTGGCCCGTGGACTGGAGAGTCCCAGGATCAGTTCCCGCTAAGGGCACCTACCTCGGTTGCAGTTTGTCCCCAGCCCTGGTTGGAGTCGTGTGGGTGGCAGCCAGTCGACGTGTCTTCCTCCCCCCCGCCGCTCCCCCCCTCCCCCGCTCTATCTGAAGATAAATGCAAAAATGTCCTTGGGTGAGGATAAAAAATAAATATAAATAAATAAATAAATTTTGGTGTCAGCTGGGGAAGGCACGAGGACCCAAGGCCAAAGGAAGGCAGTCTTCCCGAATCTGTCAGCTGAGCTTCCTCCTAGTCACAGCTAACGGAGAAGAAAACAGGGTCCCCGTGGAAACAGACAACTCGGCAGCAGATTTGAAAAGGAAAATCAAAACGAACGAAACTGCTGAGGAGCAGATCCCTTTGTCCTACCACAGGAGTTGCAATGTTACACATGTTGTGAAAACTCAGAAAAGGAAGGGAATGTGGCATTGTCTTCTGTGTCATAAACGAGATGAGGGTGATTGTCTTTTATTCTGGCACAATTCCTGAGGGTTTAGCAATTTTCTTAGAATTTCCCTTCCATCAAGTTGCCAGCCTCGCAAATGAAACGCACCCAATTAAACGCATCTCTCTGCCTCCTCAGCAAGTTCTCCATGGCTCGTGTGTGTGTATTTTCTCCGGCCCCCGTTTTTAATCACCACAGCTTCTCTCCCACCACCACCCAATTCTGAACCATTTGGAGTAAATGAAAGCACATCAAAATCTGTGGATAGCCCTGGCCACTGTGGCTCACTGGTTGGGCATCGTCCCATGAACCAAGAGGTTGCTGTTCGATTCCCGGTCAGGGCACATGCCCAGGTTGTGGACTAGGTCCCCAGTGGGGGCGTGCAGGAGGCGGCCAATCGATGTTCCTCTCTCACACTGACCTTTCTATCTCTCTCTGCCTTCTCCCTTTCTCTCTCTAAAAATCAATAAAAACATATTTTTAAAAATCTATTGAGCCCTGGCCAGTTTGGCTCAGCGGTTGGAGCGTCGGCCTCCGGACCAGAGAGTCCTGGGTTCGGTTCCTACTAGGGGCACATACCAAAGGAAAAAAAATATCTATGGATACCTTCATCTTTTTCACCCATTCCCCCAGCCCCCTCGAAGTACAAATTGGTTCTCAGACTGATGAACCTCAAAGGGAAGTGGGGAGGGAGGGCGGGAAGAGATAAACCAAAAACTTCTGTGCATATAGGCATAACCAATGGACACAGACAATAGTGTGGGGAAGACAGTAGGGGGCAGGATTGGGGAGGAGGTGGTCAATGGGGGGAAAGGAGGGAGACATCTGTAATACATTTAACAATAAAGGTAAGTTAAAAAAATCTAATGATAAAAATCATGAAGCACTCTAGCAAACCATGGGTTTTTCTATGCTCAAGTTCAAAGAATGCTTTCTTTAAAATGAGCATTTATTCAGGGATGTTTACATGCTGTCATGGTCAAAGCCCTGCACTGACTTTATTACTTATTCATCTATTTATTTTTTGATTCTTAAAATGCAATTACACCTGATCACTTTCTACATTTGACTGGCATTAACAGAATGGTTCAGAAAGAAAAATGAGCTAGCATAAGTTGTGGCTCATTCCACTTTCAAAGAGAAAATGCGGCTCTGGCTGGTGTGGCTCAGTTGGTTGGAGCATCATCCTGCAAACCAAAAGGTCATGGGTTCGATTCCAGGTCAGGGCACATACCCAGGTTTCGGGTTCAATCCCATCCCTGGCTGGGTCATGCATGGGAGATGAGCAATCGATGTGTCTCCCTCACAGCAATGCATGCTTTACTCGTCCAGAGACTCTCACTGGGGTAATTCAGCCACTGAGTTCCACCCAAACAGCCTGAGGATATATATTTTACATTCTCTGTGGAAGGAAGCACAGGACCATATTTTTAATTTGTTAATTTTTTTGCCAGAGCTTCATAAGAGATTCCATCATTGTCAGTCAAATAATTAATAACACCAGTGATCAACTGAACTAACTAAACCAAGTCCCCTTTAACGTAAACTGACTTTTTTTGTTTTAATTAAAAAAAATTTTTTTTATCCTCACCCGAGGACATTTTTCCATTTTTTGTTCAGATAGAGTGGGAGACAGAGAAAGAGAGAGAAACATCTATGTGAAAGGGACACATTGAGTGGTTGCCACGTGCACGTCCCAACCAAGGCCAGGGACAAACTGCAGGCGAGGTACGTGTCCTTAGCGGGAACCGAACCCGGGTCTCTCTGGACCGCAGGCCAACGCTCGCGTTCACGCCAGGGCCGTGAACCAACTTTAAAAGCAATCTACTACCCTGGCCTTTTGGAAGGAAGGCCCCCACACTGGAGACTTCAGGCTGAAGCTAAAAACTCTGGTCATCCTTAGCCTTGCTCCCTTGCCTCACATTCCAAGCCTCTGATTCTGATGTTTCTAGAACACATCCCCTCCATTCCTACTCTTTGGTATGTGTGTCAGTCTGCTAGGCTTTCATAACAAAGTACCATGGATTGAGTGACTTACACAACAGGAATGACATTTTCACAGTTCCAGCAGCTAGAAGTCTGAGGTCAAGGTGTTGGCACAGTTGATTTCTTCTGAGGTCTCTTCTTAGCTTGTGGATGACCACCTTCTCCCTGTGTCTTCCCATAGTCTTGTGTGTGTGTGTGTGTGTTTATCCTAATAGTTGCTTTTTCTAAGGACACCCATCATGTTGCATCAGGGAGCACTGGAATGACATCATTAATTAATTACCTCTGTAAAGACCCTATTCCCAAACACAGTCCCATTCTGAGGCCCTAGGAGTTAGGACTTCAACATACAAATTTGGGGGAAGGGATACAATTTGGCTCATCACAGCATGCCATATAAGGACTTTCATGAACTGGCCTTGGATTTACCCCTCCAACTTAGCTTTAGACAATCTCTTCCACGTAAGCTCCCCCCACCCTCAAAGGCCCGAGGCTTTCCAAAGGTGCCAAGTCCTCACGCCACCATGCTTTAGCTAGTGCTGCTCCTTTGGCCTGGAGTGTCAGGGCAATGGAAGTCCCTCCACCTTTACCCTCTCACCCAACTCCTTAGCCGGGCAAGCTCGTCACAGGTCAAATGCCATCCCCTCTGTGCAATCTCTGCTGAACCGCCTGTTTCCACAGCCCGCGTCTAATGACTGCACCGTCTCACTGCATCGAAATGTTGAATGCCCACCTGCCCCCTGTGGGAAAGGGGCGCTCGCCTTCCGAGCTCGACAGAGCAGGCGCCTCACAAACCTTTGAGTGAGTGAAGTGGAAGAGAGTGTAGGTAGCAGTAAGTGCAAGTTCTGAGAGAATTTCAAAAAAGAGTTTATATCTACTGGAGTGAAGGACCCTGGAAAAGAACAAACAAAACAAAGAAAGACCCTGACTGTGGTTCAGCGGTCTTCGTTCCTCCTGCTTCAGGAGAACTGTTCTACTACGCCTCCTGTGCTCCCCAGCCAGGAACTGGGACACGGGACTCAATTGGCCGGTGGAGGCCTGGCCCCCAAGACCCCCAGGAAAGTCTCCATTCTCTCCACACCTGTGAATGTAGAAGGCCCAGTGGACCCTGAGGCCTTAGGAAATGGTGGAGCCCCCAGGTTGGGAAGGAGCCTGGGTCCCCGCATGGAGGAATACCTGCTAACAACTGAATAGACTGACATACAAGCGAGAAATACACCTTATGCTGTGTTAAGCCCTTGAGATTTAGGGTAGGTGTGTTATAGCATTAACTCTCTTGACTAACACCCACCTGAAACACTGGATGTGTCCCATGTGAGATACTCCACTTCTCACTGTGTCTCTCAGAGTCAAACGGTGAAGCTAAGTCCACTTAGTCCTTGGTATCTCAACACCTGGCTTCCCAGCCCCCCCTCACCCCCACTCCACCCCACCACCTAACCATAAACTCTCTTGTCTTTCTTCAGTTGTTATTTTCACCTCTCCTTTGCTCCTGACCACTGGCTGATTCCTCTCTGAAATTAATTCTTCTCCTTGAATCCCGTGACAGCACTCTCGATTATCCTCCTAGCCAGACCCCTCCCAGTCCTCTCCCGCTCCCGTAAGGTTGTGTTCCTGCCCTTCTCCTCGCTCACACTTTTCATAGTTTGTAATGACTGTCACCTTTGGGATCTTTTTCAAATTGATATTCTTATTTTAGGAGGGCAACTCCCCTTTTCATTTTCATCTCATTTTTCTACCTCTCTCATGTGACAATCTCACCCACTTGTGCAGAGGACTCTGGCCTCCTGGCTGCTGCCTTCTGGACGTTTCCACTGGATAGCCTGCAAGGACGTGACATGTCTCTCAAAGTGTGAATGGGCACGGAATCGCGGGGGGAACCTGGAGAACTCGCTTCTCAGACACTGATTTGGAAGGTCTGAGGTGAAGAATTTAAACTGAACACACGATTCCAGATGTCACCCCCACCCCAGCCTGTGATTCTGATGGAAACTGTCTATGGACCATGAGTTGAGAAGACCTCCTTGGCGGCGGTTGGTGAGAGGAGAGAAGATATAATTTGAAGTCCTCTTCAAGTTGAGAATCAATCTTCAAATACAACTCTTTTTAAAAATATATGTGTATATATATAT